CAAGCAATCATTCAGCAGCTGAGAAATATACAGCGCCCGAGAAATTCGTTCTACCAGGGAAAACAGGCTAAAAAAAATTTTAGTGAACGAAAAGCCACTACAGCAGTTAACAATAGAAAACAAACGGTAAATCTAACGCTATGGGATGTCCGCAAGGATCGCCAAGTAAACCGGGATTTTAGACGACATCCTACCAAACTACCACAACCACTCCACCAGGTTGCAACGCGATCTATCTTCTAATAGTAACCGCTAATGGTAAAATTGGTTGATTACTGTAAAGAAAGCATTGGCGACAGTAAATAAATGAGGGGAAATCTAACAAAATAGCATTTCATGAGGGAAAATCAAAGGTCTTGAATATACATAAGAAGAAAGTAGACCCCCTAAATATAATCCTTGATAGAACCTGTCTTCGAGTAGTTCATGAACTACTTAGGTTTCATTTTCCTCAAAAAAAAAAAAAAAAAAAAAACTGGAAACCGCATATTAAAAAGATAACCGAAAAGATGTTGGGTTTTGTTAACGCGTTGTTGAGGATCGCTAAAGTGAGATGGGGACTTGGCTAGACACTCTGCGAGTGATACGGAACAATTCTTTCGATGTTGACGTAAAGAGCTTCAACTTGCATGATGGCGATAAATCAGAGACAAATCTTCAATTGTTCGAAAGGGTCCAACGTATAATAGTGATCAGAATGGGCAAAGGCACGATGTCATATGAATCTGCATGTTTGATGGCAAACATCATTCATATCGGTATAAAAATCAAACAAGTCAGTGAATTGTCCTTGATATCTAGAGGATACTGTACAAACTATGAAAAAGAATGTGAAATGTATAGACCGCTTCCTTTCAAACAATGGAGCCACCAAGCAGTAGTTGTTGAAATAAATTAGCACTTCAGACTAGAAAGGGATGGGATCTATTCTACACATATAGAAGCAAAACAAATGGTTATTGTAGAGGCTAAATGTAAACTACATAAAAAGTGCTCGAACAATCAGGTGGAGCAGTTGGCTGCCCTGGAAGCAGTGGAGTGGGCGAATGAGCTTATAATACAGACCAGCGGAAAATTAAACTTTACCATCGTAACTGATGGCCAGTTCATATTCGATGGCTTCATGGATCCAAATAATAGAGGTGAACTGGTAGAACAAACTAGATCCAAAATAAGAAGCATTTCAAGGATGAGATTAGAGATTGCAGTGAACTGGGTGAAGGCGCATGTTTTTTGGAAATGAGGAGGCAAATCGCCTGGCAAAAGAGGCTTCAAACGACGCATTGTTGATAATAAACTACACCGAGATTCTCAGAACATATGTTAAAAAAAGAGTATACTAAAGACATCACAAAATGAGAAAAGGATTGGAAAACCATATAACGGATAACAGGGGAAGAAATTTGTCCCCACCGTTCGTTCAGTCAAGAACTTCTCTAAAAGAAATCCTATTTACCAAGGCATACAGCAGTCATATCTAGGCGTGGGCCATACATAGGATGCATTTATGAAAGGAAAATAAGTCCTGTTCCATACTGTACGCGAGACGGCGTCACCTACGAGGACATCACCTACATATTGTACTCTTCTCCTCTTTTGGAACTACATAGGAAAAGACTGAACAGAACAGTAGAAGCATGAACTTAACAATGATATCATGAACGAGTTCCTACAATACATTATTATGATCGATTTTAACTTTATCGCCCCCACTTAATAAGAAAGTAGATGAATGTTATAGATGTCGGGTGTTGAAGAACAACACGTTACTTTTTAAGACGTATATTTTTCCAAAAACACAAACTTTTATATCATAATATGTCCTAGCTCAAGGTAACCATCAGTGGCGGCAAATAAAAATCTCAATCAACTCGTTTAGCCAATCATTACGTCACATACACTACACATCTCCCTTCAGCGCAGTGGCCGTGGTCAACCTGTCAGTGCTTGAAACGAGATAGATTCAAACTGTCTACCTTGAACGGTGGTAACTCGTTCAGGTACACCGTAGCGTAATATCCATATGTTGTATAATGCGGATGCTACTTATTCTGCAGTGATATCTGATAGTCGTACTGCTTCAGGCCATATGTGTATCTGTAGATCAAGGTTAGACAGAATCGTTTTCCTTGTGACGGGGGTAGTGGGCCTACTATATCTAGGTGCACTTGACTGAACCATGCGGCTTTGGGACAAACGCCATGAGGCGAAGAGGTGGGCCGGTGCACTTTTCCTAACTGAAATTTGCTGCAAGCTCATGCCCATTTTTTTATGTCGCCGTTCATGCCAGGCTAGAACGGCGCGATACGTGACTGGAGGCCAATCCCGCGAAGTTCTCTGGTCTCTCTGAGATTTTGGCGTCGGTGGTACACTTTGCAGCTTCAGCCATATTAGCAGTGGTCGATTCTCAGAAGCTCGTTCACCGTCGAGCTGACCAATTATAGATGTCGGGTGATGAAGAAAAACACGTTACTTTTTACTACGTATATTTTTCTAAAAACACAAAATGTTATATCATAATAGACCTAACTGAAGGTAGCCACCATTGGCGGCAAATAAAAATCTCAATCAACTCGTTTAACCAATCATGACGTCACATACACTACAAATGTATATGTGTGTATATGTTTGTGTGTATATGTACGTGTGTGTATATAGGTATATATGTAAAGTAACATGATATCACAGATGCAATGTGTACAACCTAATCAATTTGATTTGTATAGGTGCCTATTAGACTAATCGTATAATAAATATTTATTTTAAACGAGAAATCAAATAAATGGAATACGCGTTCCTAAATAGAAAAAAAATTGTTTTACATAGTGAAAAACCCACAGCACAAGAAACGATAAAAGGGAAAAACCATCCATCATTCGAGGTACGACTAGGTGGATATGTAAACAAACAACTCATCAAGTTACATCAAATCGCACTAACACAACACCCATGTCCAGCCCCTTTCCGCCAAAATGGGCATCAACTTTGAGGGTTTGATTGATTGGCAATGCAACCAGACCTCTGACGATACTGGTGATAATTTAATATATTACGAGGTTATTCAGTTATCGACCAACTTTGATTATAATCTGGTTTGGGATGTTATTGGGTATGTGGTCCTTCAATGAATCATACACTGTATTATACAGTTGCCAGGCTTTCGGCTCTATATTTGGCCTTCCTCAGGGCAATGTACGACGTCCTAAATAAAAATAATAATGTAATAACCATTTACAAGTCAACGATTTTTTTAAATACACTTCTCTACACGTTTTTATCAAAAAATGTCAGGTTATAATGAATGAAAAATGTCATTATAACCTGACATTTTCTGTTAAAAACGTGTAGAGAGGTGTATTTAAAAAATCGTTGACTTGTAAATGGTTATTACATTATTATTTTTATTTAGGATGTTACATGTTTATCTATTTTAATTCTTTCAAAAGTTCATATTTAAAAATATATTGTAATATTTACAATAAATAGGTTTAATATTTAGACAGTGATAAGTATGATTTATTTAAATCATAAATAATAGTGACTGAATTTTATTTAGGCCTCAGATTTCTCAATAAGTTATATTTGTTTATTTATATATATATATATAAACCATATAAATTTATTCATCAACTATATTGATCCTAGTCATCTTGCTTGATGTTGATGCTGTTTTTCTCTTTCTGCTTTTTAACGTGGATGTTGTTTCTATGCATCGGGTTTTTCACAGACGTAACCAACCCGCTCACTCACTCACTCGCTCTCTCTCTCTCTCTCTCTCTCTCTTTATATATATATATATATATATATATATATTCAACTTTACTGATCCCAGTCAAACTATTAAACTCACTTTGTATATATACGACCCACGTACTGCTGTAGATTGTAAAATGTAGTGCTCCAAATAAGCAGAATTTTGTTGTAAATTTTTGTAGTAAAAAATAAAAATTAATCATCAATGAGGAAAACTTGTATTTTTTAAAAGAGTAAAGCGTGTCAGTTAAAAGCAACTGGATACCCGCCATAATATAATAACGAAGCATCGATTCTCCCTTAGGATTAAGTTCTTTATTTAAGTAACACAAGACGCTCGCTTCGTATAAGACAATATAATTAATCAATTTTCATAAAGGTGGGTCGCCCGTCTTCTTTGTAACCCAGATCATCACGACCTCAATCGACTCTCTACATCATCTTCTAAGAATAATTTTCACAAAATTGTTTTTTAAACAGATGTTTATTTTACTTACATGGTTACGACACTACAAAAAAATTATAAAGCCCGGATGAATGGTACAAATCAGACGAATAACGGTCCTAGGTGTTTTTGGATTCTTTGGGCAACCCTTTTTCCACCATACTTTAAGAAGGGGAACCTAACTGAGTAATTTAAGTAAAATTTATATCTGTCGGCATAAAATTTTATATATANTATATATATAAACTTTATTGATCCCAGTCATCTTGCATGATGTCTGTTTGTTTTCTTTGTACGTAAACTTGGAGTTAGTTGGGTTCAATAAATTTTATGCTGTTGATCTCTTTCTGCTTTTTCCGATCGCCAAATAATCATTGCTTAATGGTCACTAAACACCACACATTAGAATATGATATTAAAAGAAAAACGAAACTTACAAAATAAAAGCCTTACAAAATAAGGAAGTGATATCACTGAAGGAACAACTCGCTAAACCGCAAGTCCACACTACCGATCCTCACTCAAAACTCTCACAATATCATATATTTTAACTTTCATGTGAATGTTTTAACCAACATTTCGAGGTGCAAATTGAAATTTCGGGCAATGCATAGTTTTATAATTTTTAATTTTCTCATTTTTAGAACAGAAATAAACGCCTTCTGGCATTTATTTCTGATTAACACCTTCGTTTAACGTCAATTCGACTTGCTAAAACATTAAATAACGGCGAAAAAATAGGCCGATTGAGATTCTTTTTGTAATGTAAATATGATGATTTTAGAATGAATTTATTACTTACGCTAAGGACTTGGGGGCCAAGAGGAGTATTTGATTGCTGATTAATCTAAGAGATCCTAGATGAGGAAGAGCCAAGCTATCTCCCTCGACTATCTCCAAGCCGCCTTCAATCACGTCTATGTGCTCTATCCAGCTCCCAGACAGTTCTGAAACAAAACCACCAACTTGAAGCAGCTGCGGACACGTCATCTTTCCTTTGAAAACATTATTAGTGAATTATCACAAAAAATATCAAGAACTTCTTATACCATTTTTTTAAACATTGACTGGACTCATTTGCAAGCTCAAGCATTTCAGATACATATTATCAAATAGGTTTTATTATTTTTCCCAAATCATTTTTTTCTAATCACATATTTTACGTGAGGCGCGACGAAGCTTAGTCCGCTAGTATTAATTAATGATTTCGTATTCCAAGGAAGTGCATGGAGGGCCGGACTGATGTTGGGGACGGTGCTTCGGCTGGGTCACCGGCCGCCACCCCATGGACCTTTCCTGCCGTACTCATCCGCGACGATCTGGCGAACTTGCCCAAATCGTGCCTTCCGCCATACCTCTACAGAGCTAAGTTCCTTGAACTTAGAAATAGATACATCGTTTCTCGTCCAATTTTTACAGACGGATCCAAGACCTTCTGGTCTTTGCCCCCTCATTGCAGCGTATACACGGCAGAGCTGTATGCGATTTGGCACTCTCGAGGCGGTGCGGTTCTAGGAGGGCTCAGCTTTCCTCGTATGTACAACGCTGTCTGGGCTATATGAGATAGGTTCTCTGTGGACCCTCTCGTCGGGCTCTTTTAGAGATATACGCGGAGCTGGAGCCTCACGGGAAAACGGTGGTTGTTGTCTGGGTTCCCGGACACGTCGGCCTGGAGGGTTACGGACGTGCGGACGAGGCGGCGAAAGCCGGGACGTCCCACCCTCCGGATCAGACCATCGCGATAGGCCCTCTGACGCTAAGCATGCAGTGAAAAACGTGATAAAAGAAAAATGGTAGCATCAGTGGGCGGGGTTGTCGGAGAGGCTGTTGCGAGCCAATAGCACGACCTGGAGATGGCCCTCAGAGAACCTGAGAAGAGACGAGGGATCGTCCTCATCCGATTGAGTATTGGCCATACGCGGTTGACACACGGGCAACAGCTTTTGGTCCAAAGACCGCGCAGGTGCCCCTTATGCAGAGGAAGGTTGCTAGATGTGTTCCACTTAATAGAAGGGTGTCATGCCTTGACTCCATACAGAGAACGTGTAAGCATGCCGCCGGATTTACGAATGGTTCTCGAACACGGTAGCGAGTTTCAGAGTCCCCTGTTCAGCTTTGTAGGGGAATTGGGAATTTTTTATTGTATATAGTCGACAATATATGTGTTTTGTGTTTCTGTGTTTTGTATGAGTGAGTGTATTTATAAGAGTGAATGGGGAGAGGCTGATGGTGGAATAGAATCTCCATCGCCCCTCGAGGTGTGTACATGACTTGGGACGATGGCGGAATATTTATAAAAGTACCCCATCGACCCCAACTGGATTGGTTTGTCATTGTGTGCAGGTTGAGAGGAATATTCAGTTCTCCATCCACTAAAATGAATTTAAAAAAAATTCATAAATTTTAACTTAACGTTATAAACGTGATTTTTTGAAAACATTGTATGGATATCAAATACGCATGTAATCGCATAATATAATTGTATTGTACATTTTCAATTTATTTTTTCATTGGTTTTCAACCACTATGAGACATTTAGTCCGTTATTGTATTTAAATTATTAAATTAATTAATATATCTGCCATCGGAAGAAGACGGGATAATCCATTTACAATGCTTGTCTCGAAAATGTCCAACGTTTTCCCCAACGGGAACCGTATTTACAGCACAATTTAAAAAAAAGTAAAAAAATAAATTTGATCAGCTGAATCTCCTCGACTCCGATAAGGAAATGTCGGCCAAATATGAAAACAAATTCAGTGATATTTCGGACGAAATCAATTATTTGTATTTGGATTGGAAAGATTTCAAACACATTGAAATCACACAAACTAAAGTTTTGTTAATTCCAATTAATGCTGTTACAATTGAACATAAAAATGAGCATACCTAAATTGTTGTTGCCGCCAATCTCGACATTGCGCTTATTGATAATGCTATCTACCATGGTGTTTTGTTACCTAGAATTTTCTATAGATTTTAACGTCAGATTGGATGACAACACGAATGATAAATTCGTTCCGTTTACAAGAAAGTTTCTATATTTTAAATTGACCCTACTAGGCGAAAATAGAACACAATTTCGCGCAAGGGTATTACCATATCACGCGTTAAAATCCAGATGTCAAAATACGAAGAATTACAATTTCTTCAATAGTTAAATTGTCAACGGCTGAATATCTTCCAATTCAAATTCTTCAAAATAATTCAGCAACATCTATAAATGTAATCATAGTTATTCAAATTGGTGGCTTATTTACTTTTCTGCTATTTCTTTTGATGGTGCATAACTTGTTACCCAACAGAACGCCCTTTTGAAAATAAGGTCGCCTTAGAGAGGATCTCGAAATCCCCCCTGGACTTCGTTGCGCAACATGTTCGAACCATTGAATTTTCTAAGCCTAGTTAAGCACGGTTCTCTGTTGAAAAAGTAGATATACAAACATTTTGTAAGAGGACTACCTCAGAGATAAAACCTGATCTTTCTTTGCAGCAGCCCCAACATCACATTTATCCTTCCCTCGATTCCAAATGTCCTAAGTGTATTGCATTTATTGAAAAATTATCCTGTATATTTAAATATATAATATATGTCAATGATAAATGCCAATATTTACGAGAAAACAATTGATGCTTTAACTGCTTAAGCCGCTATTCCCGACTGAATCGAAAATCGAAGGAAATTGGAGTTTATATCATTAAATTGTGAACATCATGTAGGTCACTACGTAGGGTTCCAATCTTCTTAGAGGTCATTAGTCGTTCACCAAGCTTTCGGCAATTTATAGTGCCATCATCGGGGACTATTTTATTACAAATTCAAAAAAAAAAAAAAATACAATTAACAATTAATGTAATAAAATAGTGTACGTACTTTCCCAAGGATGAAGAAACGATAAATATTAAAAACTATTGTACAAATCTTTGGGGTTAAGGCTATGGATCATATTGCCAGCCTAATACATTTTGTCGGTGAAACGGACATCTGTATAAAAATTATAAGTATTTACTATCATATAATATTTAAAGTCTTGGTTGAGATAAAAAAACGAGCTGGATTCGAACCTACGACCTTCGGCTAAATACGCCGCTGCTCAACCACTTGAGCTATCATGACCTCGATCCTCTCGGACACCAACTCTCCATCTCAACCTGTAACCGTTCGAATTTTCCCTGTTTCTGCCATTTTCAAATGTCGTGTAATCAGGATTGGATTCTCAGCGACTTATGAAGTGGTCACGGGGAGCTGTCTAATGAAGTGATACTTCTTTTACTTATTAAATACGTTTTAATGGTCAATTGACAAAGTTACTTTTTCAATTAATTATTATTTCTATGTAATGTCTTGGTTGAGATAAAAAAGAAAGAAGTAAATTGACCACCAAAACGTAAATGGATTAATAATATTTAAATCTATTAGGTTTCGTGGTCCGATTGACCAAATAAATTCGTTTCAATTAATTAATCTTTAATTAAGGTTTTGGTTGAGATAAACAAGTCAGTGACACGAGCGGGATTCGAACCCACGACCTTTTGCTAAATTCGCCGCTGCTCTACCACTTGAGCTATCATGACTTCGATCTATTCGACACCAACATCCCATCTCAACCATACCTTTTGAATTTTCCCTCCTTGTTGCCATTTTTCATCTTATCCCGCTCGTGACGCTGATTTTATTATCTCAACCAAAATCGTAATTAAAGATTAATTATTTGAAAATAATATTTAAAGTTGACATTGAAACTAATAAATTATAATAAAGTCAAAAAACCTTGCTAAAACCCCTTATAACTAAAGGTCCAACTTCTTCTATGTCCTGACTAGAAATTCCTTTCAGGTACTTTTGTGATCACTGAAATATTTACAAAAATTGCTTTTTTTATTTAATCTAAATTAGAGCTATTTACAGAACTATGTACACCGGTTGGACTGCTATGACTAGTACGAAGCCTTTTTTCACCCGTGTAGTGACCTCTACGAAGATTGGAACCTACGTAGATTATCTGCTGGTCGAACAACGAACATCATATCATGTATACTGTTACGATTTGATCATTGATCGCAAAATGCTCTAGAAATTTAAACATTGTCTATTTGGAAGGGTAATGTGAGAAAGATTGAATATCAGCAGAAATGCCTTTAAATCAATATATGGCCCACTCCGAATTACTGTAGATTACTATACCCCTTACGGCTATTACAATCCATTTTTCAATTGAATCGAAATACATGCTAAAATCAGCAAAGCCCGTATGTATTGGCTATTCAAATACCTAGCTTTGCTGATTTACGGCTTGAACGTGAAAAAGAGAGATTGGAAATCCATTGTTTTATCTTCGAACTGTTTTGTAATTTATTTATTTAAATCTCAAACATGTAAATGTGTTCCTAGAGAGTAAACAGTTTGGCCGATTTTTAACATGTACATCTTGGACATCTATCTATTATAGACCATAAGATGAACCTAATTTTGTAGTTAATTATTATTAATTTATTCCTATTATTTATTCTACAGGCGGTCAGAGATAATTTGTAATTGTAAAATGTCTTTAATATTTGACGAAAACGTGGAACTGTTTCAACTTTTTGGGCTGGTTATTTCCGATAAATTGCGTCGTTTTCTGTTTCAAGTGTGAAAAGATTTGCGAGCTGAAAATCTAAAATCAATGCTCGTATCAAATTTCGTGCATTGTTAATCCACGCGATACAAGATATTATCACATAATTGCCACTCGAAACCAATTCCACGTGAAATCTACTCATTTAAGAGGTGTGATTTTGCTCCGCTTTGAAATAACCGGTCAGGGGAAAAATCAGAAAGTAATGTACGTTTTGTATTATAATAATTGATTTTTTCACCGTCCAAAATTGTTGATTAACAAAAAGCAAAAGCAATATTACTTGTAACTAACTAATGTTACATCAGGCAAATCCTCCTTCTTTTTTCCGGTGTTAGCATTAAAATCGTAGCCGTAATTCGTTTGGAAGTGGTAGTTCTTCAATTTTTTCTTTAAAATCTTTTTTGTAGAGATTAGTGACCGTTAATCGATATCTGAATAACTTTACCATCTTTACGGACTGATCACCGGTTACTGTTAATATTACATATTTACAATTTGTAGGTTGAGATGGAGAGTTGGTGTCCGAGAGGATCGAAGTCACGATAGCTCAAGTGGTAGAGCAGCGGCGTATTTAGCCGACGGTCTTTGGTTCAAATCCCGCTCGTGACACTAACTTTTTCATTTCAACCAATACCATATATAAAGATTAATTAATTGAAAGAAATTATATATAAATATCATACATACATACAAAGGCTTTACTTTGTTTTATACCATCTGAAATTTCAAAGTGTAAACTGAATCTAATTATTTTGGACGTACAAAAATAAAATTTAAAAAAACCAAACACGCAGTCTTGGAATGAAATTATCATTGAAATTTCAAATTACAAACTGTTTAATAAAACTAACATGATTAATGATAAGTAAATGAGAAATAAAGAATTGAAAACGTCCGGTAAAGGATAATTTGAATTTATTTAAAATATTAAATATATTTTACGCTCAACCCAACCCTAACATTTAAACAGCGTTTGGCTTAAAACGTTAAGTACACTAAGTACGTTTCCTTACCTGGAAGCCTGGAAAGAGGCACGCCTAAGCAGGTGATGTCCCTGCTGTTATTACTGTGATGGTCAGGCGGGCTTTTACAGGTGCACATTGTGTTGAATTCGCAAGGGAAACATCCGACGACGCCACTCCACAAAACCACTAGCACCACCACCTGTAAAAACAATTTCATTTAATGGCCAATGAATAAAATTCCTTTCGCGTTTATTTAATTAAGAAGCCGACTTCTCATATAAAAAAATTAAATATCTTTCTATCCCGACTTCCTTCCCCATCCCTTCAAAAAGCAAGGTATATAAACATAAAACATGAAAATCTCACTGGCACTCTCAATACGACACCCAATAATGACACATCCACACAGAAAACACTTTGATTGTATCTAAAAATTTTAGCATTGTATATATTCATTTATTTCAAATCCTACAAGTAATTGTAAAATTTAAACAATGTTTATAAATCCCAGACTTGAAGATGGTCTCAATAAAGATCGAAACGTTGGCTCGATAAAGAAAATGTTTTTCTAAAGCCTACGTCACACCAGACAGCATCTCATGACCTCCAAATAATCATTGTCTACCGGTCACTATACACTGAGGTAAGGTTAAAAAATAGAAACCAACGAACAAAGGTATGACCATAATGATAATAACTGCAATTATTCAGAAATCGTGAGATGCGGTCTGGTGTGATGTAGGTTTCAGAATAACATTTTCTTTATCGTGCCAACGTTCCGATCTTTACTGAGATCATCTTCAGGTCCTGGGATTTACAAACATTGTTTACATTTAACAAATACATTTAGGATGTGGATAAATTCACTTTTCCACATCCTAAATTTATTTGTTAAATGTAAACAATGTTTGTAAATCCCAGGCCCTGAAGATGATCTCAATAAAGATCGAAACGTTGGCACGATAAAGAAAATCGTTATTAAAGAATTAAAAAATTAAAATTATCGTTTAACGGTCACTAATCACCACACGATAATAACTGCGTAAACATTAGACATAATATCAAATTCCTGATGAAGGGGAAGTATTCCTCACAAGGTTGACAAAGGAACTGATTGTATTCCACTAACGCCAATCACATCAATTCATATTTTTATTTAAATTCCGAAAGATTTTTTGTATAAGGATATTCGTGTATTAAATTGAAAAAATTTAAGTGGACACCAAAAAAATTGTTTCAATTAGAAAATTTATGGCTTAGTTCATTTAAGCAGGTGGTGCATTGTTTTTCCGAACGATCCTTTATTGCGTCGAAAAATACACTACCCTGAGTACCTAATTTTTTTAGCTGTATAGACGTAAGGAATAAGAATGTGGAGATCAAATAAAAAGTGCGCCGACACGCGCCCGTCTGTGAGTGAGTGTGTGTGTGTGTGTGTGTGTGTGCGCGTGCGCGTGTGTGTATGACATTTATAATTGGAATAAATGAACATCAAGTGAAGCTTTAAATGTGTTTAATCCAGTTTGAAACAGACCAGCAGGCAGCTGGTTGCCGGTTCAAATACGAGTGTCAAATGCAACTCTAAATAGTTCATATTCACGCTGGTCGGTGTTTTGACCTTCTGACCGACGCCCAGAAGCGGCTCCACTGATGGGAGTGATGTATCGTATGTACTTCGTCGCTAGCAATAAATACATAGACAGATAAAATAGGTGATTTTGAGGGAGTGAACGAAAACCAATAAATTTGTTGCTCCGCCACTAAAACGCATGTCGTTAATAATTTCCACTTGCTGATGGTTACATAATTATGGTAGTGCGATGTTATATTGGATGGGTATCGAGTAAATTGATTCTTATTAAGTAGTTTTGAAATAATTCATTTTGGTTTTCACATCGATACGGTTAGGGTTAAAAAAATTGCCAAACCATGTTTCAGAATAATGAATATATATCTGCACAAATGAGTGGTGTTTTGTGACCGTTGGTCAATAGTTATTCGGAGATCGTGAGATGCGGTCTGGTGTGACGTAGGTTTTAGAAAAACTTTTTCTTTATCGTGCCAAGGTTTTGATCTTTATTGAGATCATCGTCAGAGCCTTGTGTTGTCTGTATTTCAACAAAAAAGTTCTCTGATTAATAGCCGATGCGAATTTCTTCTCACTAATGGCGATGTGCTTGAGAATACTTTTTGCTTGATTTTTGTTCTTCTCGTGTAAAAATGTGTGGTGTTTTGTGATCGTTAGTCAATAATTATTCTGAGATCGTGAGATGCGGTCTGGTGTGACGTAGGTTTTAGAAAAACATTGGACACCGAGCAAATAGTATTCTGAAGGACATCGCCAACAATGAGAAGAAATCAGAGCCATCAATCAAAGAACTTTTTTGTTGAAATGCAGACAACACAAGGCCATGAAGATGATCTCAATAAAGATCGAAACATTGGCACGATAAAGAAAATGTTTTTTCTAAAACCTACGTCACACCAGACCGCATCTCACGATCTCCGAATAATTATCTGCATACAAATTATCATCAACTTTATACACAATAACACATACATATAAAGACATAAAAATAAACACATTCGTATAAACATCAACAACACTGAAACTTTAAAAGAAGACTAATTTAACCTGTATTGTCTTTACATGGATAACGGAAATGAAGTATTATAGTCTATCGTTCCCCGTGGTCCTTTAACTACAAGCAAACAGCTAATTGAACAGGGATTATTGATTCCGAAACTACAGTTTGGTCCGAGAAAGCTTAACACCTCTCGATGCAAAGCACAACACGTAATTTAATAAACCGAGCCGAAAGGGAAGAACAGGCTTGGCGAAATAATTAACCCCTTACCTTAGCACAACTTAGCCATGCGAACTTGGCAATCGTTTCTTCCCGATCGAAAACTTGCCCGAATGGTATTGTTTAAGGAACAGCAGCTGGCCTCCGGTCGGTATTTCAAACTTTCACGAATAAAAATGCGTTTTCAATTCGCCCCACACCATGTCGAGCCCATCGCTTTTGTTACCCCTGTGAGAAGAAACCGTTTGAAGATGGAAAGTTTCAATTTCACGAGTGTTTTTTGTTTTACAACTTTTTGACTTTACGTACAAATATACAATACAATATTGCATCGGTAGTGAGGTTCCATTCACTAATTCTTCATAAAACATTAGGGAAATCACGTTCACTATGTTTATTTAAAAAATGTAAAAAAAGTAAACGCTTAACAATTCATCCAATTGACAAGAACTTAATAAAATAATAAATATGATATAAGAAATGTAACAGATTGTCAGAAAAAATACTGAATAGTGGCTAATAGATGACACTATGTACATCAATACGCGGGAATAAACTCGCTATATGTCATTTTACAGCATTTTTTTTATGGAGAATGCAAAAATAAATAAATAAAAACTATCAAAGTTTATAAGTAACCAAAAACTTTCTAAAACCTTATTTCTCAAGTAAAGTAGGTCATAAATTTTTTTCACGAAAGTAATACGAAATTTTGTTTTAGTACCTCTAGAGACCCAAAATATACATGTTTCTTACAATTTAAATTTATCGATTTTTTGACCCCTAAAAGCTTTGTCTTTTTAAGAATTCGTCTCGGAATAACTGAGGGAAACGGCTATAATTCAAAATATCTAAAAATATTTTCATGTCAACAATACTATATGAAAGAAGAGAAACCTAGCTTTTTAACGACGTATGTACCGCAAAAATATATAACACATTTTTATAATAAAATACATAAAATAAGAATATATTTTTGTCAGAAATTAACCTCGTTTTTTTAAACGAATATCATAGTCCGATTGTAATGTTTGATACAGTTATTGACTGCATTTTATTTTTCAACAATTTCTTTAAAACGAATTATCAACCATGAAAATCGACCTTCTAGGTATTGAGAAAAATGATGTTAAACCTTGCGTTAGGAATGTTAGTCACGCAGAAGGGCGTCGAAATTGGAAGTGGAATAAGAGAGAAGAGGGATAGTAGATTAAGGTAAAAGAAAGAAAAATTTAAAAAAATCTCGGTTACAAATAAATTATAAATGAAATTTACATTTTAATAGTCCCTCCACCAATAATAAAACAAACAAAATTAGCTAAATTAAAAATTATTATTTCGCCTGCCTTAAATTTTTTTCTCCAAATCTAATTATGCTGGCACTCAATGTAGGGGTTAAGGGGCAAGGAGGTTTCGAGGCCGTGGTCGATTAAGAAAGACAACTTGGCGGGTTCTGGAGATGGAAATGTGTACAGAGGTCTCGATCAGTACGATTTGGATGGATCGGGAGGTTGGTGTGAAAGATTCCGACTCGAGAACGGAATAGTTCGTTGACAAAAGGAATGTTCGTTGTGGATAATGAGGTTAGTGACGAGTAAGGGACGATTTATCTTTGAAATTTTGATTGGAAGGATTGCTGGAATTTGGATAGCAGAACAGATCCACTACATTGTCAGTGACCTTTGATTACACCGATTAGATGCGCTGGATAGCTTGCCAGAACCCCACAGATCCACTGCGTTATGTCTAATGAGGTCGCATTGAAGTCTTGTGTATGGTTAATTTAGTGTTGGCGGTCAAATGGATTTCGGTCCTAGAAATCTTCTTATCCATATCTTCTGTTAAGTTGTTAAGTCTTCAGTGGGGATTCCAAGTCAGTCTGCTGTCTAGGTATTTGTCTAAGTATTTGACTGAATGATCATCTGTACGTCTTCGGGGAGGCGAAGCTGTTTTGAATATCCTAAACCCTGAGACCGCACCCCTTTTTCTTCGATGTTGATTAGTGCAGTTCAGTAGTACATCCAACAGTGAAAAAATATTCATGCGGAAGTTTACAGAAAATGGTCAAAACTTGGATTTGACCTCATTGTCGTAATTGTAGCGTTAGAAAACACTTAGATATCAACTCTCACGGAAATCGGTGTAATTTAACTTTTTAACTGATAATTTCGAAGACCTGCTGCGTGACTGACATTCTTAGTGCAAGTCTAACCTCTTGTTTCTCAAAACCTAGGAAACCTATCTTCATGGTTGATCATTAGTTTTAAAGAAATTGCCAAATGAATTTTATAACTGTATCAAGTATTAAAATCGGACTACTATTTTCATTTAAAAAACGAGGTTAATTTCTGACAAACATATTTTCTTGCAGAAATCTTTTATATATTTTTAT